TTATACAAAACTAACGTCATATACCATTTGTGATGACAGAACTAATTAGAAAATCAGATTAAGTTTAGGTATTTGCCTTTAAATTACAATCAAAACATTGTAACATATTACGCTAAATATATATAGAATAGCATTTTGAATAGTTATTTTTAATCCAGCTATAAACATTGTTGAAATGAAACTTTAACGTGTTAATTTCCAAATTAAAAATGAGAAAGAAAATAAATCAAACAATATATTTACCAATATGTGCTCCACGAAGTTTGTTACCTTTCGGACGCCACGGATACATGTAATATGACGCATTTCGTAGTAAGTATTGTAGGTAATTCATTTCCTTTCTTGATGCAATAGTAACAAGATGTTCACTGCGCTTACGGCATTTGCTGTTTGCAATATCCCATGAGACCTCTTCAGAGAATACTGTATAGCATTTTCTGAAAAGCCCTGAGCAAGCTGAAATATAAAAACATGTTCCATTTAAAATTATTTATTGATCCTTTAGGGGCTTATATATCATATACAAAATACCATTTCTTATGCACTTCTTCAAAACACTAAGTCGTTACCAATAGTAAATCATTCCAAATATTCATGATTGAAACAAAGGGAAGACTTTTTACTTAACCTTTTCTTTTAATATTCTATAATTTCTATGCTCTAAGGAAATAAAGGAATTCCATTATATGATTATACTATATAGTGAAGTATCCAGCTGGCATTAAAATAATAACAAAAAACATGATTTCATTCACAGATGATAAAATCTTTGTTCTGATCTCGCTTTGAATATGAATATATAAGTAATACCTGATGATTCTGATTCAGATCCTGTAATCTCAGTTGTATACCTTTGAAATGAATGATTTGTTATTTTATAATGTATCCGAAATCCTTCAATTCGCTCTCTTATTTTGCCATACGAATACAGGTATCCCGAAAAATCAAGACGTCGATAAAACAAGTCGATACGTGAACCTTTTGATTTGTATGTCTCCGGTGGTAATATTCCAGAGCAAAACTCGTGTTCGCCGTCAGCATCTTTGATAGCAAATCGTGATTTAAATTCTAATTTAATGTAAAAAGAAAGTCATTTATAAAACATGTAAAACAGAATGTAATCGTTAGATAAGCGTTACTAAGAAAACAAGATTCACATTATTTCATGTTAATGTGCGGACTTCAATTTTTACACAGGCTGCATTACTTGTACTTTCTTGTTTTGTTGTTTTTATTGTTTAATGAGACTGTTTATGAGAAATAGAAAAAGGTACAAAATCTTTCGCTTCGCTTTACACCGGCTTCAGCGGTATTCAATCCTCAACAGTAGAAGGTATGGAACTCGTGATCTAGGAGATGAAGTACGAAAACATTTACAACTGTCAGGTTTTATTACTGACATAATCCGACATTGTCGTTTTCCCCCCAATGATATTCAGTACTGAGGGGATCCGGTAATATACCCCGCATCGTTTTCTGACCACATGAATAGAAAGTGTTCATTTTTGATATTTATAATTATTTGATATGAGTTTTTTGTACATTGAATACAATACTCAGTGGTATATTTGGAAGTTTCTATTTTTAAGGATAGCTTCATCATTTATTTACGCCCATGTCATGGCTGTATTTATGCTTTAATGTTTAGCTTATGTTTTTTTCCTGTTTTCTTTTTTTTGTAATAACGATTTTTTACTTCACAATTGATGCAGGTACACTTGTGCATGTTTGGATGGAGTGTTAAGTTTATGTTTTACAGTATTTTTCTACGACTTAATGGGACAGCCTTCTATATGCTACATGTTACCCTCAGAACTAGTTATGATTAATTAGTAAAGTATATGAATAAAAAATTGACTATAGTCTGTCCCATCAAATTTGAACATTCCATTTTTTATTTAATATAATAGTAAAATTATTTAAATTAATGTCATCTTAACCCTGACGTCAATATCTCTAGGCATGTTTTTCATTTTTTTCATAAAGTCAGTAATATGGTCAAAATGTTAAAATTATATTTTTCCCCGTTGACTTACGTTGTAACCTGACGTGACGTCCATTTCAAAATGGCGGCGCCCATATAGACGTCATTTAGGGTTCGTCTCACAATTACGGTGAAATGTACTCGGTAATTATAAAAATTTGATTATTCTTATTTACTTAATGATCAAAAGCTAAATGTTATCATTAAAATGAAAAATGAGAACAAAGTTGGTGTCAAAAAGGCAATTTTACTAGCAAACTATTATTTAAAATAATCAAAATCATTTAAAGCTAAAATATCGGTAACCGCTTTATAAATTCTAACTCACAAATATTAAATTAATTACCATGATACACTGTCGTATTTTTTTAAAGATAAAATGAACAATGAATTGATTTGATTAGATAGCTTTCCAATAAAGTGCGTATCTTACCGCAACATGTCATAGGGGAGCGGAAACACAACTAGAATATGATAAACAAGATCAACAAGGAAAGGCGGCGTTCAATGAACGCGGCCCCCACATGACCTAGCTAGAAGACTATAAAAAATGGTTCTTCGCTTATTAATGTTTAATTTACACAATTCTGTAGTTATCTGAATTCTGTCCATTAGCATGTATCACTTCTATTCAAAAATAATTAAATTGACCAGGTTCGATGGGATATAAGAATATGTTACCCTTCTTATTTCGGGTGCGATGTCCGTGCGCTAAAACTTTCCGTAGGTTTCAACTTTCACAAGAAATCGCCAACAGATACTACTTTATCATGCAAATCTGACAAGAAATATATAGAAAGGAAAACTGATTCACTATACGTTCAGAATTGGTTTGCTTGTTACCACAGTGTCTACTTTAACTAACTCCCTCGCTAACGAGAGAACACAGACCCGCGTTCGAGGAAAATGTAAATTTTAAGAATATATAATATCATGCTTTCTAGTTTGAGCAATCAAACGTAGGCCTATACACTTTAAGTTCGTAAATACAAATTTAACTTCCAGTCTCACAATTCAACAAATGTCAGTGATTTGATATTATAAAGAATAAGTTTGGATTGGAGTGTTCAATAAGCGACAATAAGCGTGTTTTTTAAACTCAAAGTGTAACATATAAATATTATGTTAAAATGAAGGGGAGATGTAGTCAAAGGGAAACACCGAGTGACTTTCTCAATGATTTTAGCCTTCCTAAAATTTAAAAATATTCAGTGAAAATACAATAGATCTAGCATATTTTTCGCGGAAGAAAAATACGGCGTAGTGTATATTTTGTAGTTAAAAGAGTAAGATTTACAGAAGTCATGAAAAACGAGATAATATGTAGGGAAATTATTTCTGAGAATTATGTAAAATGGTTTTTAAACATAAAATCAAAACGACTGTTACATGTAATTAATGGAAGAAGTATTGTACTGTTGTAGATTCATGTCATTTTGTGTTTAACATTATTTAAATGTTATCAAAAGCTTTAATTATTATTAATATATGAATTGAAGGTGTATTTTTTACAGTTAAGTTGCAAAATCTGGGTATACAAAAATTATTTTAAATGCCAACAAGACAAATTCATCTCAACGCTTAAAATTATCTGTTTGAGGTTACATATGCCTAACCGCTCTCTGTCAATGCCGCAACTGGAATCGCGAGACATTTTTGTTACGTCATATATTTCGTATATTGTTGTTGACGTAATAAAGATTGTTTTCGTCAGGAATCCATTTTCAAGAGTTATAAGCATTGTGATGTTGACAACTAAAATTGATGGGCCGTTCTTGAATTATGGATTTGGAACATGCTGAATTATGAGTGTATAAGTGTTTCATTTACATATTTCATTTGCTAACCCAGATAACTCCACAAATTGAACAATGTTTTAATAATGAGACGGATTAACAGTCTAAAAATCTGGATCATCATAAGTGTAGGAGTCATGTCATTTAGGAGTTTCAAAGTAGAAAAAATCGGATCTGTATAGAAACTGGCAATGAAGGAATCTTCAGAAGTGATGTTTATAAAGATCTATTCCGATCATAGGAATTATATTCAGCTTAAAAGTAAGTGTAATTTCTAGATCTTTTATCCATGTGACACGGTGTTCTTGTTGCTTATTTTTCTTTTTTATTTTAAGTTTTCTATCATGCATTGCAACTAAACTGTTACATCTTGTAGATCCAGCTTTGTAAAATAATCATGAAACGACCCCGAGAACCTCATGTATATTTTAGAAAAATGACACGTGCTTTCTCCCGTTCATCTTCAAATGAAGAGTACTTCGGCAATGGCTACGGAAAATAAACAACAGGGATTTTCCATAGAGAAATCAAAATTTGCTTTCACAAGAAAAGTAGACACTTTAGCGTAAAATCCTGAAAAATCTCGAGGGTGACTTTTTTTTAGTTTACAAAAACAGTTAAATTTTCATTCAATCTCGTTTTGTTAATTCACACCAGGCAAAAGTTCATTTCCATTTTTAATGGGACAGACTATAGAATGTTTAACTAGTGCGTGTCATTTACTCAGAGTGCTTTGAGTCTGAGATTCTAAAGGAGATCATCACAAAAATTACTATTGGTACAACTGAACTTCGCGCCATAAAAAGTATCCTCGGGGAGTCAATATTCTTTAAATAAATAATGACCTTGAGACAATTGCATTAGAGGATACTGACTCGGTCATTATTTCTCGCTTAAAATTACCCTGTTTTAGTAAAATAACAAGTACTGCGCAAAATGTTGTCCTAATGACAAGTAATAATAATGAATTAAAACACTATTGAACTATTGCAAAATAAAGTTGTTTATTACGCACCGACGTGTGCGTTCCGTAATCGTCCGTTTATCCAAAAAGAAGTCATATGTACAAAATATACTACGGACATTACTGCCAATTTTATTGATAAAAGTTACCTTTAAATTTATATAGGTAAACGTACTAACTTTTGTCAAACAATAATAACCTTGCGTTGAGACAAATGTGCCTTCATTTTATCTTTAACCTGTATAAAAGTGACCCCGGTCCGAATTCAAGTGTAAGCATGCCCTATTCCTCATAAAAACTGACTTCGTCTAAAACATTTTTACTTTATAAAAGCTTGAAGCTTTTTCGAACAACTCTAAAGTCGGTTTCCAGGAACTCAACTGAACTTGTAAAATTTGAAGAAACATAGTCTACCAAACTTGAAATTAAGTCATGCCTTAAATTAATTTTTTCGTTTATGTTTCTTTCCATAACTTATAAGCATGTCTTTATTAATTTCTGTAAATTATGAAAGGGGTTACCTTTAGATAATGGCAACATATAACAGGGGTTCTCTTTGCAAGTGTCATTTTTTCATGTCGGGTAAACAAATCATGTTGACCGGGGGTCATACTATTATGAACGGGGAGTTAATATTCTTTTAAAGGTATTGACCGGGGGTCATACTTCTAGTCACTTAACTTACAACGCAGGGTCTATATCTCTTGCATTTAAGGGATAGCTATTTTTCTAACGAATTCAAATAATATAGAATTGGTATCGATAAGATCGCATAAATTGATGGAAGTATATCATTTATGACATAAGGACATTTGATAGAGGTTCGTCATGACTAGTAGATGACCCCAATTGATTTTGATATCAAGTGGTTAAGATTACTTTTTATCCTGCTACTGTCAATATCATCAACTGGATAAAGCCTTGCCGGATAAACTTATCTATCTCCAGTCATTACGTCACATGATGACGTCACATGTTTAGCAGCAAAACAAAACTGCATATAGATGCTATTTTATTTGGGAAAAATAATAATTAAACTTTTTATTTATTCTAATAACATGATATAAAGCAGGATAAATCAAATACATAGTTGATGTCGGGATGGAGAAGGTTTATCCGGTTCGCTGCGAAAGTGAATCTTGGCTCGCTAAAGCTCGCCAAGATACACTTTCTCGCTCACCGGATAAACCTTCTCCATCCCGACATCAACCATGTATTTTCTATATATTTGGCTTTTCAAAGCTTGTCTGACCAGTATCAAGAGAAGAAAGAATAACTGATTATGATGAGTAGATGACCACTACAATTTTCTGGTCAGATTGATA